TGTGTTCAAAGCACGACCGCATAGTTGACGTTGAACTACGAGACTAGTTTTACTGCTGTAATCACTCTCTCTAAACTCTCTTGAACGGTGCTAACATTCAATTATTTCTAATGTTTCTTCGAGAGCGTGGTTTAAAGGCTTGGGCTTAACAGGCTTGCTGAAACTCTTCAAACTCACTGGGGGTTTTAAACACTCTTGTCCTGCGAGTTTAGCCAACCCTCACCTCGAGTCAGTGGCGGCAGGAATATGGAAGAAGTAAACAAAAACTCCTCCAAAGAGAGGGGAGAGTGAACTTCAGCGAGAGAATTATTTGACGTGAAGTGCGCTTTTCGAGACTCCGGATGACTTTTTTGTTCGACGCAAGAAGCTCAGAGTTCAAGCAGAGTGAGAGTAAGAGCGTGTGATAGAAAACATGAACATGAATGGCAGTAAACCTCACTCTCATTTTATCCCCCTTCGCTCACAAGCTCTGAAGCCCAGTGGAATGATTTGGCAGTAGGCATTCTACTCCTCAGAAAAATGCTACGCTCGGCTCATTTAAAACTCGTGAGCAAGGCTCCATTAAGCCTGGGGCTTAAGTCGTGACTTTATGTCCAACCCCTACTCGCTGGATGCGTATCTCCATACAATAAATCTCAAACATCTGACGGTGTGGAAACGGTTACGATGGCATCGATCACGCAGTTTGGCAATGTACGGATAATGACGCAGCCAGAGAGCGACTTTCAAATACCCTCGAGGTCCAAGGAAGACAACCCTATGTTACTATCAGAGGCGTGTTGGCAACCCGCGATCTCTGCTATATACAGTCGATTTATGTGTTTCTGCAAATGTCTAGTATAAGAATTTAATTTCTTTGTCTTTTGTTTCTCTCTATTAGTCTCGATGAGTCTCACCGTCGCCTACTGATCCCCATAACCGGTCGAACTCCAGACGAAGCTAGAACCGCACTACCGTTCATACTGGCGACAACGCTCTGATGAGACAACGAAACCTTACCCCAAGCTTCTCCTCTGATCCTATCCTTCGACAATGTACCCCTCTAACCTCGGATAAGCCACGAGAATTCGGTCCAACTCCTACTAGACATAGAAATAAATGAATTTTGTTACATCCAATGAACAATGAATTATCGGCTCCGTAAAGCTAACGCGATTGAGCCTTACAAATAAACGAACTAGATAAAAAAAACTAGACTCCAAAATGAACAATGCATTCAAATTTCTAAAATTGGGCAGTTATTGAAAAAAATACTAATTTAAGATTCATTTTTTTAAATTGGAAAATCAGTTCCTTCATTATTCATAATTAGATTCCAGACTTGTTCACATGTAATTTAATAAATAGAATGTCATTGTAGCATATAACACTCACAATAGAATGAATGCAACCCCATATAAGGACTGTATCGTCAGCAAAAATCAGTTTTAAGCAAAATCCATAAAAAATATTTTAAAATGAAAAAAGGTTCTTCAATTATTTATGTCATGCAATTCTTAAGAAGTTAACTTCACAAAAACAAATAAAAAGGAGTTATTTTCGGTACTTGTATGATCATTGATTGTAGCCTTTTATAAATTTTGGACATTGTAACAAAACAGGTTTTTCACACTTTTTGTACACATCGAACAATATTTTTGAAAGTTATTTTATGATATTAGTAGCTCTAGCAATCATGTAAACGGTTGTGAAGTAACAAATAAACAGCTAACTTCAGAAGCTTTCAGTCAGCTAGAAACTGACTGCACTTCCGAACCACAGCATTCATTTAATGACTGCTTTTTAATTCAATAACAAATCAAAATTGGACCTTAGTTCGTCATCTTTACACACATAGTATTTATATGCACTCATCTGTCTTCTTTGGTCAAGTGTTGAAAGTTGGAACATTTTTAACTGTGGAAATTTGCATAAAATCGTTCATATCTGATGTTATTAATATATTTGTTAATATCAGTGAACTGCAGCATACTTTAAAAAAAAATTAAAAACAGGTTCTATCAGCATTCTTCAAAATCAACACAATTTTACGACCATTCGAAGCCATTCGTACTCTTGCCCCACTCAAAGTCTCCCATAAATTACGTCTTTCCTATGTCGTCTACTGATACATACTATAAAATTCTTTTCATATAGACAGTCCTTATAACCCCCTTCTCCTATTTCCTTCAGAAATTTATGTTGCCTAGGAGTATCTGAGTAGATCATCTTTTCGTGGTACGTTACGGGATGTAAGATCTACCACCGATTCCTGACTACTTCAAACTAGGACAATAGGATTTTTCAGTAATCCAAGGAACACATCTTAGTCCTTGTTACTTTTTATGCCTTTTTGATAGTGACAAGAATCGGTTTTGTCTACCGAGGATGATCTTGAAAAAAAGGACAAAAAATGAGTTAGTTGTCTTCATCTATGTGATTCCTAATCTTCTATTCGTTGTTCCCTAGTTTGAAGTGGTTAAGACTAGGGTTCTGATGCATGGTCATTATCGGTGTCATACCTTAATTTTGTTGCTAAGGAATCCAATTTTGACTGACAAAGGGGCGTGCCTTTGGAGGGTGTTTCAACACTCCGAAGGGTATAAATAGCGGGACCTTTCAATTAGAGTCGGATCCTTGCGATAAATGCAAGAGTGGCAACTGTGAAAAAATCGAATACTTCATCCTTTCTCAATAGTGATGGAGTAATAAGACATGCACTAAACTAAGGACACGGGATATACTACAATAGATCAATTTACTGGTCACTGTAGTGTTAGGTCCCGAACAGAGGAAAAAAAAATCTGACTATAGAATTGCTTTCGGATGATTCTTACGGAATATGGTAGATGTTTCTTCTTATGAAATCCCTTCTAACTTACGGTAGAAGATTTGTTCGACATTCTCCAGAATGCCCCAGAAGGTTTCTTCCAGCACCCTTCGTGACCAGTAAGCTTTTCTAACTTCAGGATATTTTTTTCGTATTCGCCCAGATTTTGTTTGTACTTCATCTGGAATAAAAGTTATTAATTGAGTTGTCTGCAGATTACTCACAAGAGCAAAAAAGGGTGATTATTTTTCAATTAATTCCACTTGGTATATTAATATCCATGGCAGATACGTATTTCGACTACAATGTGCTGTCTTCATCAGTTTTATTCCCATTGGAAAGGACGACACTGATGAAGACTGCACATTGTAGTCAAAACTCGTGTCTGTCATGGATATTAATATTATTAGATAAGTGGAATTAGATGGAAAGTAATCAATAATTCATCCGATATCACTAAGTAAGAAATTAAAAATATGCTCAAAAATGTTTTTTTTTCTTTAAGGGGTTCAAACGGTTGTTCATTTCTACACAAATAATCATAAAATGAGTAAACTTTCCAACGATAAACAAATTATAAAACCTTCACTGACGACCACATTGCTTTAAAAATTTCCTGTAAACCGCTATACAGCCATGTCATGGCCAATTGGCCCAGTTTTAATGCAATAATTAAACTTGATATTCGAACTACCTTAGGAGCATAGGTTTTATGCCAGTTTTATGACATTCATAGTTTAGTGACCTATGTTTTGGCGATTTTGAATAATCTGAACTCAACATTGGGTAGCATTTTTGCCCATGTGCTTTAGGATTGGAAAGTATTTTTTCTAAATAATTAAAAATAAACTCACGCCGACCCACGCCGCCGCCACCGGAAGTAAACGGCGTAACGCCGCAACGCCGTCGCCGCCGGCAGAAAATAACATGTCACGCCGTCGCCGAAAATATTTTGATCGGCGCACAGGTCTAGTTGAAACATCTTTCACCGAACCGATTGCTGACCATCAAGCTAAGATATATTTGCACACTATCGTATACGTTCGAGAGCATGGCAGCAAGAGTGACGCAAAATTTGAAATTTTCACTCCACAGTTCTCGAACGGCGTCAAATCGGGTCCTGATCAGCCTTCCAAACAAATCAAAATTAATGTAATCAAACTTAATTATGAAAATCCTAGATGAAGATGAAATATATCATCGAAACGTTGGATAATAGACGCAGAATTTCGTTGTAGCTGCCCAGCGAATCCAAACACATAAAGCAACCAACGATACAGACAAAACGGTTGCTACGACTACCATGACAAACTCGCTCTGTAACAAAGCTCAATCCGAGTGGTAGAAGGATAATGATATATTGCTTGCCTGCTTTGTTGCAATATACACGGATGAGGACATAGCTTGATATGAATCGGGAAAAGACATAACAAAAAAATTCCCATTAACACACGTGTATCATCTTCGGCTTTACTTCGTGAAGCAGCTTGCCAACAATTTGCTCGTTTCCTTCTACCGCCCCGAATGAGTTGTGTCGCACGGGCTGCTTGTCATGAAAAAGTACAAAGAAGATTATATCATTATTGCTTTCCACTTCTGACATAGCGTTATTATTCGGTTCGTTGATCGCTTGTCATTTTTTCATTTGGAGATATTTTTGATTCCTTGTAGCTGCCTATTCAAGACTGCAAGCTCCGAAAAGTAACCCCAAAGTTTAATAAGTATGAATGTTAATTCTGATAGGATGTTTAGGAACAGTTAAAAGTTGCATATTTTATCACTTGCACAAAATTGTACATTTAGAGCGGTAGAATGCATCGGTTGTTTGCAGACAAATTTAAAAAGCACTATTTTGAACTACTTAATGAAATACTAAACAAATTATCTTACAATGATATAATGAAAAAGGATTTTTCCGAATAGAAAATTGAACGGTGTTGTGAACAACTTCACCCGTTTTACGGTACCTGCATACAACCATCCCCAGTAGATCAGATGAGTTCAACATCGTCCCAAACACACATTCGTGTTGCATGTTTACAGACTGACCGGTTCTGTTTTTGAAGCGTTTAAAATTTGTTGAATTAAGCAATTTTATCTCAAACTTTACTTAATCAACACCGCACACCTAACTAATTATTCATTTGTCATTTGTTTATTTTCTTTCGTTTTATTTTTTCCTTTCCTCCAGAATGCGCTCGGTGGACGAGATGGCAACGTCCCACATTTTATCCGCCATCGATCCACTGATGACGGCATCGAGTAACGGGGGATCGACGGGAGCGACAACGAATGGTAGCAACATGTCGCAGTCGGGTGGGGGCAGCAGTGGAACGCTCGGTGGCCATGCACGGGGAGGTAGAGAGCAAAACCTCGCGGTCACGCTGGACGATCGTGATCTGTGGATGCGATTTCAAAACCTCACCAACGAGATGATTGTCACCAAAAATGGAAGGTGGGTTAGTCGTTAGTCACAGGGGGTAAAATGGCAGCGATTGTGCTTAGATTCTCGAGAATGGTGCCTTCCTAGTTAGTTTAGATTGACTCAGCCAAACGGAACTTGGATGAGGGACATTCTGGTTTCTCAGTAGACAAATATTGGTTTTCATGATCGTAGTCAATATGTATAGGATACAGGCAATCGCTTTTGCTGGGAGACGTTCGGGTGACGGTCTTACCGACATCGCACAGCACCGGAATAGGCATAATTAATCTTCTCTTCCTTTTTTTTACATTCCCGCCGGTTTCAGACGTATGTTTCCCGTGGTAAAGGTAACCGCGAGCGGTTTGGATCCCACCGCTATGTACACCGTGCTGTTGGAATTTTCTCAAGTTGATTCGCATCGCTGGAAGTACGTCAACGGTGAATGGGTAAGATATTGCTAATAGCTGAAAAGAAATTCAAAGACGCGGCAGGAGATAATCTGTAAGGAGAGTGTGTTTCAACCGGCCGCATCATCTGATCTATGTAAATGTTCCGTTGCCATTTTTCCACGCACGAATGCAGTTGCCATGTGTGCAATGGCGGACCTTGAGAGTTTTCCATTTTTTTTCCCTTACCTCGAGCAGGAGAACCATCAACTATAGTCACAAGTTACTCCGTCAGCGGCGTGATCGAAAAAGAGACGCTTGTTTATTCCGTAACGTTGCAAACTATTTGCATTGCGCTAATTAATGCACGGTGCACCGCTTGGAAAAACAAAGTGCATCAACGTGCTAATTAGGACGGACGAAACACCGTGGGTGCCGGCGCGAAGGTCTTGTCTTGGACGATCGTGTTCTCTGAGTTATTGGATAGTGAGCGGAATCGGTAATTTACATCCAAATCAATTTTTACATGATGATTTTGATTGCAAATTTGCTTAATATCATAGCATTCAGGTATTAAACATGCTGTATTTGCTGGATTAGCAAATCGAACCGGAAAATCCTATATTCTTCGGTTCAATTTTTGGGCACTCGCAAGAGTCTCGGCCCATCTACATCTACAGGGGTTTAACTGGTGTCTGCGACAGGTTGGAAGGCCGCAAAATATCAGTGTCCAACCAGCTAAAAAACTGTTTTAGTTTTTCTCTCAACAAGTTGGTAAATCTTAGCCTTTAGCAGAAAGACGCTTAACACTTTTTTCGGCGAATTTATGATCCTGTTTCACGTCATGGCTCTTCTCTGTGCCTGTTCAGATAAATAAGTACTTTTATTTATTTTCTCTACTGTGCTAAATCAAACGAGTAGAAATAATAAGGGATGTCCGTTATGCGCTCGAATAATTGAAAACGACAGGATTAAGGGGCTTAGAAGCATCGATTTCCTCTTTTGATGACTATGGCTCCACAAACCTATTTCGCACTATTTTTGCTATGCTCTTCTGTCATCCAGATCAACAAACGTATCAATGAATGTGTTTGCCGTCGAGTTATTACCGAAACAGAAAGTTCATGAAGATAATCGATCAAAATCGCTTGCACCCCTGCACAGTGGTGCAAAAGGCCAAATCCATAAACTTTTTTCATTAGCACCTTTTACAGTGGTTTTTTCAATAGGGTATCTTCAGAAGAGTTTTTATAAGTGACAAGACCCATTGAATGAAGTTAAGTTTTAGTTCGAAACTTCACCACAGGTGGTGCTGCAAAATCTAACTTTTTAGTTTGACCAGATAGAGATATAAAGTCTTCAGCGAAGTTGTAGGTTGCTTCATAACTAAAAACTTGACTAGAAAACGCAATGTCTCTATCTGCTTGAGATTTTGAGTTATGAAGCGTTTTTTAGAGAAGGGCCTCAACAATACGTTTTTTTTTTATAAATATTTCCGAAATTATTTGATTTAGATGACTATAATATTCTGCTAATTTTTAATAATCAATAAAATACACAACTTTGCTCAAGACAAAAAGGTTCTATCTGCAAAACAGAAAATGTTATAGGCAATATCAGCTCAAAAATAGCCAAATTTTAAGAATCCACAAACTTCAAAGAGGCAAAAAGGGGCAGACGGCTCCTCAATATGATGAAACTATAGTGAAAATACTATCATTTCATCTAGCAGTCATTTGTTTCCCGTTGTATCCATGTGAGCTGACCAATGTTTTATTAACAGCATTCTAACCACCCACCATGTTTTGAGTGTTTGTTTTTGACATGCCAAAGCAACCCATGATTGCCAGTTTTTAACTGTCATTCGAGCGTTATGGTACAAAACGTTCGTTGCATTTGCGTTCATCAGAGTAAAGCCGGATACTGTTCAAAAAATTCGGATTCACGGATCTAAAGTTGTGGAAAGCTTTCTAGTTCCAATAGGTCAATTGTTGGAACAGGCGCAAGAAAGTCGTAATAAAGACTTATACCGAAGACAACAAATCAAGAAGACTGGCAACTCTTCCAGTTTCTCATACAAACGCTATGAGACAGGTACAATCGCGTCATCTGCCGCTCAAAGGTAAATGCTTCGAACGAATTTGATAGCAAAGATTACATCATCAGAAGAAGGGTTTGTGTATTTGCTCATTTTTCTATGCGTTGCTTCTACTTTCACTCAAGTGTAGCGCTACTGTATCTGTCGCTTGGATTCTGGCAACGTTGCCAGTCTTTTTGATTTGTTGTCTTCGCTTATACCCTGTACAGACTATGGCATATATCATGTAATATAGGCTGTCTTGCAATGAGCACTCATACATAGGATTTCCAGTGAAAACTAAATGATATAATCCGTCTGTACAGGGTATTAATATTTGCTTCTATTATTCTACGGCTTGTGTGTCTCAAAAGAGCCCCAAGTTTTACTTCAGCTGAAGTTTCTGAGATCAGCAAGGATTCTTTTACGGGGTAACAACTTCTCTTTGCATCCAACACTTTGTCGTATCAAAGATAAAGGTTTGCGTTGCGCTGAACGGCACCTTTACGCAATCTTTCATATTGATTTTTCGTCAGATTCAGATCCATGACAAGAGCTTTATTATTTGTAAACGGAACAAGAGATTTAGAAACTTAACGTTGCAATGACGACACTTGCGTTGCAATGACGACACTTGCGTTGCTCTTGATAGACTCCTTTGTGTAATATCTTGCACAACAGTCGCGGAATCGTGTTTACCCTCCTCTCTTAGTTTCATTTGAGTATCATATGCTAACTCAACCGTTGGATATTTATTCCTTAAATCCGATGTCTTCCGTCTTTTTACAACTTCGCTGCTGCTGTCTTCGAATGCCAGTAACTTTCTGCCACGTTTAGCAGGTGAGGATGACGAAGGAATGCCATTAATACTTTTCGAAGGGGTAAAGTAATCGTTGCTATATACTTTTTCTTCGGTTTGGTTATGTTTTTGCCATAACTTTTTTAAATATTTACACATCGATAGTACAATTTGTTTAGCTTCTATGACAGCTGCTACCATGAGCTCAGGTTCAATTCCATAATGAGTGAAAACTTCGTTGCAAACGGAGGCAACCTTTTCATCTCCCAAGGAGTTTTCCCAAATTGAAAACAGCTTTCGTTTATCTATTTCAACTGAAATAGAGAATCGATAACCTCATTTTAATGTAGTTCAGTATATTTGACTTGTAGTTGCTCAAAAACCATTCCCTAGCAATAACAGACAAAAATTACATGAATGCAGGATATCCAGAAAACAAAACGCAATACCATTCATATAAGTAAACAATATTTGACTTACCTTCTGTGCAGTCATAATTTTCAGAATGTTATTTGCAAACGAATTTTTACTCTGATGAACGCAAATGTAACGAACGTTTTGTACCATAACGCTCGAATGACAGTTAAAAAATGGCAATCATGGGTTGCTTTGGCATGTCAAAAACAAACACACAAAACATGGTGGATGGTGGTGGAAAATCAACAATTGGAGAGCATTGCAATCGATGCGTAGAAATATTTCTGATCGATTGGTGATAAGATTATTTAAATTGGTCCAGGGGCAGCTGAGTTATTAACGTTCAAAATTTTTCATAATTTCGTTACATAGGGGAAATGACGGCTTCGGCATGACAGACTATTTTCGGCAACCCAAATTGAAACACTATTTTCACTGGATTTTCTTACGAAAACACTTCGCTGAATGCATGCAAACGATTCATTATGCTTTCAGCTTCAATTTGCCTATATTTTTACCACTGAGAAAAAGCAATCTAGCAAGGTTTTCTTGAAATGAAACACACGCACTACAAATTGTAGCTGATTTCGAGTTGCCGATAATAGAACAGCAGATTTACATGCAGTTCAAATGGAACGGTTGCCGAAGAAAAACTGGTTGCCGACAATACTCGCTCTCACTAGAGAAGATTGGAGCTTTGTAAAAGCGTTTCAAAACAGTTTTTGACAATTCTTTCGACTGAAATTGTTAGAGCAGCTGGCAGCAATAGATTGTAAACAAACCAATACTGCATATGTGTGCGTTCCTTAGAGAAAAAGGCTATAGAAAGAAGGTCGCTGCTTAGGTTGCCGAGAATACGTAAATTCCCCTATTTCATTTTCGGTTTTCACAAAGTGTACCCCCATATGGAAATCACAGACGTAGTCCTACGTCAAAATATTTCGTTTTTATTTTAGATCATTTGATCAAACTCTTGACCTTTGGAATAATCTGTCAAAACCTCACCTAAAAACCACTTGTTCACAATTATCTTTTCATACATTGGTTTCTCGCAAAAACGTTGTTCTAGACACTTTTAGAACTTTTGATGGCACATATTTTTTCTCGAAGAAATTAAAATACTGTCTCCTTTATTTGAAGAGTTATGGCAGTTTTTTGCATACATATATGAATTTAAAAAATTAAATTAAATGCTTCAAACAAAAATCGCTCTTGCAGTTTTCCCACCATAAGTGCACAAATCAACGATATTTCGAATGGAATTCAAAGTTTGAAAATCGGTTTGCTCCTACTAGAGATATTGACAATGGAAAAGTACAGTTTTTTGAAGAAGACCGCCTATAACTTTCCAATAAAAAAGATAGAAACTTGTTTGCTTCAGCAAAAATATTTGTCATTGAAAGTTCTAAAAGTGTCTAGAACCTCGTTTTTACGAAAAATGAACGTATGAAAAGATATTCATAGAAAACCATTTTTCAGAGACCACCCTAACCAGCTTGTTTAAAAAAATCATAACTCATGAACCATAAGAGATGGAAATATAGTGTCTTGAGCAAAGTTGCTGCAAATTGATTGTTCTGCAACTTTTTGAACATTGCATTGGTCTACCTCAAACAATAAAAAAAAGTTCGCATTTTCAATTCATCAATTTTATGGACCACCTAAATTTCACTACAATGAAAAAATCGGCCGAAAAATATGAAGAAACTTTTCCGAAGACACCATATGCCTAAAACCAATGGTTGTAGCGCAAACATTTTTGTGTGTGTGTGTATGTGCATGTATTCAATCTAACCCCCACTGGCCGGTAGTGTTATTATGGAAGAACTCTCTCTACAATGTTGCATTTATGGTCATTGTAGACAGCTTTAGTCTGGGAGTTAGAAAGTGATAGCTCTATTGCAGATCCAGCAACCAATTTCAGAATGTCTGGAGAGTCACGCCCATTCCGAGGTTACTTTCGCTTACAATAAGCCCCGCATGTATGCATCACCGTTATCAAATGGATATTGGTATGACATACACGCTTCCAGGTTCGAAAATATTCTTTTCAAACCAGGCACGTATTTAGTTTGTTTTTTTTTTTAAATTGTAAAATGTATTTGGACTGGTCTCACCATGTTCTTTTGATCCTCCAATCCATGCGTTCCGTAGTTTTGAGTTTCTCTAAGCTTTGCAGCTTATTTCGTGATGCACCTTTATCATAATACTTACTTCAACGAACACAAATTTTCTTGCATTGCCATGGTCATCTGGGAGGTGGTTCACGGCCACCAGCTACCACCCGTCCAGTCTTGGGCGTATCCAGCGAGGCATCTTTCATATTGCCCGCAATCTCCGGAACCAGCGAGAGACCAGCAGCCGAGCACTTCTGCAAGTGGAAAACTTGCTGATTCACGGCTGAATCACGACCAAAACTCGCGACGGACACATTATCAACACGTTCCCGGGCTAATTCACATCTCTCAATAGAACTACACGCCGAAAGTGTGCCATCCGAACTCGAAGAATCGGGTTCCCGGGAGGCAATGAGCACCTACACCTACAGATTCAAGGTCAACCGAGTCACTCAAGGCAATCACAGGCAAAACACGACACATCACTAAATGATAACTTTATGAACACTTGAAACTAAATTTCAGCACACAAATTAACAAATTTAAAACAACAAAATGTTTAATTCGCTGTCGAAAAATACACAGCAAAAAAAACAGGTCAGCTTTCAAGCGCAGCCTACTGTGTCATCGGTTTTAGCGCAAACATTTTGGCTTCCTAAATTCAGCTTTGGGACCATTGTGCAATGTGGTCTATTTTTCATCCCAAGACTAATTCATGAAACCATGAAGAAAGAGTTGTCCAACGGCATGTTTTGATGCTAAAATACAATTTCCGTTGGTTCTAGTACTGTGAGCAGTCATTGGTCCATCCCAGCACTAAGGAAAGCCTATTCACTAGCAAAATCCACGAAGAAAGAGCTGAGAACCATTTCAAGTCTATAGAAAGCCTATTCACGAAAATTCATGAGAATTCAAATTTTAGAGAATAATAAATCTGTCCACATTCAGAAATCTCGATCGGAACCTATTCCGGGGATTTCCTTTTAAAATCATTTAAAAACCATTTGACCATATCTCGGTTGATTTCATGTCAAATTTAGTTCTTGGAGTAGCAGTACCCCGAAGGACCCAAGAGCGTTTAAGCGAAGACTACAAATCAAGAAGACTGGCAATTCTGCCAAAAATCAGGAGACAGTAACGGCAACGCCTCTTCTGAGCAAAAGTGCAACCCATGTATGATGGTGTGTGTTAATTCACGAGTGCATTTATACACATAAGTATAAATTAATATCTGTCAATTATTGCTTTTGTTATGATTGTCGTAAAAAGTGAAGCGTTTCTTTCTTTGCTTTATGCTGCCAACGAGTAAAATTCCAGCTGATGTTCAACTTGTGTGCGTTAATAAATTTGTTTAAAAATTAAAACTATGGCAATGATGCCATTCACAATGATGGTGGGACCTTCCTCGACCATTAATTTGCTATCTCAGAATTGTCTACCACTTTTCATAAGCCCTTTAGTGATGTATTTATGGTCATTCGTATGGTGCATTAGTAAAATGCATGCTCGTTCCTCTCGGATTTGGCACCTAACCACAGTGTGTCGAGGGGGGGGGGGGGTTAAGTTGTGACGCTCGGAAATTTGGCACAGTACTCGCTGACCATTTGAATGTCACTGGCCAATCCGACATTGTTGTTCTGGAAGGGTTCGGTCGATTCCAAGAATTGTTAAAGCATACAGAGGATTACTATCCTGTGGTTTCATATTCGGACAACATCAAAAATGGAAATATATTCTTTATCAATACCTACCGTTTGGGATTGTAGCCCTTCAACCTTTCATTTTTATTTTCTCCAACATTAGATCCTGCTACGCCTTCCGTTGGATCGTAATTTAGGTACCGGATCTTTCTTCTTTTTGAATCCTTGAATTTTCAGCAGCTTCCAAATGACGGTAGTTCACTCAATGGTGGTGGAAACTGCCAATTCCTTATAATTGATTGCTTTCAACAGGCAAAATAAACAATATTTCGATTCCTCGTTCACAAGCAATTTAGTTACTTCCACTAGGTATCGATCCGAGTTTCAATCATCTACTTGATTCACCATGACAAGTTTTTCGGTTTGGAGTTGGAAAACCACCGGCGTGCTGTGATTAGGATACAAATTGCCGAGAAATTTTGTAGAGCAAAACAAAAACAAAGAGTACCGTGTTATGATTATTCGTTTCGGTGACATTAGGTCACACACACAGTCATTGTTTATGAGCAGTCTCACTAACACTTGTGCTTAAAAGTTCCACCTTTGATTGAGAGAGGCGCTGCTATCAGTGACGTTTGACATTTGTATGGGAGATGGGAACAGTTACCGGTCTTCTTGATTTGTAGTCTTCGGTTTAAGTGACTATAAAACAAAACTTTGGAAATGGTTCTGCTTTCTAAGTGTTAACTAAAAATATAGATTTTAACCGGTAGGGTTAACTACTCCATTTCTGGCCTATTAAGCACAACCCGCACTTATTCTTTCTTAATCTAGCGCAGTTTAGCACCAAACGGAATATTATTACTGATGGCTTCCAAATTTATTTACCTTTCCGTATGTACCGTAAGATTTGACGAAGAGAAACCAATAGTTGAGATATTGTTAAAAGTCTAACACTGCTTTTTGACGACAAACTCGGCCTATGGATTCTAAACTCGGCCTAACGCATTGAAACGCCAATGAATTCACTTCGGCCTATCGGATGAAGATAAAAATGGATTCGGTCGCTCGCTTCTTTTGTTTTTGGGAATAATGGGTGCAAACTTTCATATCACGCGTTCTCATTGACTTCGTTGCGTAGCTTATTAACTAAAGTATCATACCAAACGCATAATTGACTTGTTAACTCTGAAATCATGGATTTATTTGAAGTTTTCTGCTCGATAGGCCCACAATGGGCGATTAGGCCGAAGTAGTTCTCTACCTTATCCTAAAAAAAATCACATCACATGCTCTCCGGAAACCAGCAATATCTCGAATGCTTCTGAAATAATTGAAATCGAACCATATTTGACGAAGCTACGACACTTGCAGGCATGGTTATTTTTTCACAAATTGCTTTTTTGTTAATAAATTTTCACTCAGTTGATGGAACTTAGAGTAGTTTAATCACAACATTTGAATTCCCACCAATGAGTTTTTTCATTGAAAGTCTCATTTCTAGTAGTTGCTTCAAGAAAATCCATGTTTCGTCAAGAGAAGGCACAATTAAAATTGAGCATGCCAACCCTGGACACTAGTTGGCCTATATCTCTCTGTATTCTGTAAGGAATTGATACATTTTAAATTAAATATCATGCTAACTAGACGGCCACTAGAGCCACACTTACCTTACCAATTGACAACATGATAATCAATTGAAACACCTATTCCAGCTAATTAAAAGATTACATACCAAGGACCTGTTTGGAATATCATGAATAACAAAAGATGACGTTCTCAAATTTCTTCCAGGTTGCCGGGGGTAAAGCAGAAGCTCCCCCGCCAAACCCAGTATATGTCCACCCGGAATCACCGAACTTCGGTCAACACTGGATGAAGGAACCAATTTCTTTCGCAAAAGTGAAACTTACCAACAAAACCAACGGAAATGGGCAGATAATGTTGAACTCCCTGCACAAGTACGAACCGCGAGTCCACCTGGTTCAAGTCGTTTCCGAGCAGCGCGAGCAGAGAAACGTCCACACCTATCCTTTTCCCGAGACTCAGTTCATCGCGGTGACGGCCTATCAAAACGAGGAAGTGACTTCCCTCAAAATCAAGTACAACCCATTCGCTAAGGCTTTCCTCGATGCGAAGGAACGTCCCGATTCGGTATACTCGAGGGAAAATTCAACCTACGGATGGTTGAACTTTCACCCATCCTACGCGACTGCTCAGTCTCCGCTTGCAACTGCGGAACGTTATCAACATACCACGCTTCGGACGAACCGGGTCGCACCGTACACAACTCAGCGATCTCGAAGCACCAGTGGGAGTACTTCACCACAAACACCGTATCTACCGCTGGAACCGGTCCCGTCTCCGGTTTTCTCCTCTTACCCTACGGCATGGCAATCGCAACCGACGGCTGCAACGGGATCCTACTGGACCAGTCAAACCACCAATCCTGGCAGTCCCAACTCGATAGCTCCAAACATATCGCCTACCCACTCGAATGGATCACCAAACTATGCGACCTCGTCACCAACCTACGCCTCACACCATCTGTCGTCTCACAACAGTCAGTACACTCCAACATCCAGCTCTTCGGCAGCCGGTTCCGCGTCAATCGATGTCTACCAACCGAATGTGTCGCCTCAGCAGATCTACGCTCCTGCAGGGCATCAGGTATTACTTGGAATCATAATGTTAAAAAATCGATACTACCCAATATCCATTTCATTTTCAGATTTATCATCCTACGCCAACCGTATCCCCTAATCATCAGTTGTACGGCCAAGTCCTGAATCCGCCATCCATCTCCAACATCGGCTATTCAACGTCCTGGCACGGTGCGAGTGATTACAGTGTTTATCAGAGCACTTACCATTATCCGACGGCGGAGTACATTCCCATGATTGGTGACATTGGGTAAGAATGGGTTAGCATTCCGCGTTAAGATAAATTTAGTTCTAAATTTGAGGATTTGCTTGCAGCACCTACAATCACCCGACGGAGATAACCGAACTGACTCCAGTTTCCGCTTCGCACCATCACCGGACACACCAACCGGTTGCAGCATCGTCGCCGGTACACATCCAGTACCACCATGGGCATCATCCTGCGGCAGCTACGGCGGAAAGTGGCCTAATGAGTAGCAACGGTGCTGGTGCAGGCCACCATCATTGTACCATCGATAACCATTCGCCGGAACCTAATCATGCCAGTTCGACGGGTGCTGGTGCCGGAAGTGGGAGCGCTTTGCCAGGATCGCCGGGGGTGGTTTCCGCTGCCGTTCAACAAAGTCCGTCCAGAAGTGGCTCCACGGTGGCGTGGACACCCCTAACGCCACCACAAACTTCACATATTTGAAAGTGTCCGCCGCCGTCGTCGATTCGGTTTTGCAGAAGTAGTTTGTTTTAAAAATGTTCATTAGTATAATAGAAGTATTTTTTTTTGTTAAGAAGAAGTATAAATTCATACGCATCCTGGAATGTTTATGGAACTTTTATGAAAATTGTTGATTATAGAAGAAGTGTAAATAAATAGCTTTCACAATTATTGACTGCATTTTGTGATGGGATGTTTGTTGTGAAGTATCATCGGATTTTGAATGTTAATACACAATTCTGTTGATTCTATCGACCGAACTTAACTTTAACTAAGAACCTAGGCACGGCCATCACATTTCTGCACAATCCTGACCCTTCGCTTATTGCTAAGTGATTCTCGTACCAGAAGTGTTGGGCGCACCAGACAGTAGTAGAGTAAACAGGTATAATACGCCCCCCTTAAGAAAAACGATTATATTTGTACCGTTTTCACTTCAATCAACGGAGTAATCACGATGATCCGTTGGTTTGGAAGTTAGAACTATTTGCGATTTATCAACTATGCGGGGTAATATCCCGAGTAGCACACTTTCATCACAATAAGTTACAGCAACTTGTTTATGACTGAAATAAGTCGTATATAAGTTTCTACAATTGATTTGTGACAAGCATGCTACTAGGGATCATAGAGGTAACTCTAAGACCAGAAGGTCCCGAAGAAACGTTCGCAACTTTTTGGCTCAGCTCTGGTACTCTCGTCGGTCCCAAGCTAATCGATGCACCCCTCGAAACATAGGAAAATCCACGAACCCCTCATTTTATCTGTCAAACTTTCATAGCGAATCAAAACAAACATAGTGTAGTAATAGAATTTCAACTAGAATAGGGTACGTTAATCGTTTCCTTGGGACCAATAGGCTACTAAAGTGGTGAGCCAATTTAAAATCGTTAGTTTCGTATTGATTGTTGATACAACTAAGTTGTGACATGTCCCAGAGCGTCAGTATTAGATGTCTCAGACCGCACAAAGATGGAATAAATTATGATTTAAAAATACCTTTTTAAATGTTCAACCAAAATGATTTGACTCCCAGACATGGGCCCAGAATAGGTCTGTATAATGACACAGCTCGCGTTGAACTTGCCCGCATTTATTCGGGCTGTCAAACCTACCTTGACCAAAGACGAGCTTATTGGACTTGCTTGTCTCTATGAACACCCATTTGAACCGATTTTCAATTTTCTTTAGTTTTGTTGTGAAATGCTTATAATAAATACCAACCACAGACAAACAGACATAACACTCGTAAGTTGTTCATCGAACAAGCATTTAACGAACAATTTAAAAGTATCGTAGTTGGTAGTACCGCCACCTGTGGCGCGCATAGTCAATTCCCTTGCGTTTGACGTTTACACACTACCGCCATCTGTTCAACGTAGTGCCCACCACTGTGTACTCAATAGATGGCGGTAATGTTTTAGTGACGATGTTTTACAGTGAGAAATGTTCAATGTGTTATGTATGTTTGTCTGTGTACCAACTATGTGTAGATTTGGTTTTTCTTGATCTTCTCTGAAATCTTTGTGACTATTCGTCAACATTTCGATCGATTTCAACCAGGGGTGGGATGTGGCTGTCAAATACGAACAATAATCGCCTACCTCGTAAAACTGATTCCAAACGTAAACAAGCCATGAGAAACTTACATAGTTTGTTTACGTTTGGAATCAATTTCATATAAGAATGATCAGTAGGCTGATTTGGCAGCATGTCCCCACCCCAGATTTTATACTGGTAGAACTTATAAGTAAAGTATAGTAAGAACTTATACATTTGACAGGTTTTCTGCTCGATTGGAATAACTTTTCCTCGAGGGGGACGACTCTATCTACGATGCAGGAAAGATTGTGTTTTGCTGTGGCTAGCTGCGTGCACGCTGAGTAGATAGAAAGAAGATTGACGACGATTCTGAAGATTTCCTGCAAAAAGATGATGCGCGATGCAAGTAGATGCGAGAAATGAAAGAAGATTTTTCGAAGATTGATTCGCTAGTGGGAGATTTGTTGAGCATCTAGACTTGAGATTTCGATGTGTCGCCCCCCTCGCTTTTCCTATGAATTTGACAGATAATCGATTGATCCAATTTTGACGTGTCGTCTTTTTATAAATTCAGCCTCTTTAGTAGAACTTACTCGCATTAAATAGTACGACCTGTTTCTACCAAATTCTGTTTGATGGAATTTGGCTGAATGAACACCAACACGGGCAACTTGAAGTAGGTAGAATTAAAGTCGCTATATTAATTTTTTTATCCTTGTCGGGTATTTTAATCACTGCGACCATTTTTCTGATCTATATACGCTATATTCATAGTCTGGCGGATAGAATCTCAGGAACCAATTGAGCTGTCAAATAGCGGAACCAATCGAGCAAATCACGACCAACAACAGAAAAGAGCACATCAGCTATTGCGAACAAAACTTCGGAAACCGTTTTCTCGTCAATATAGGCTCGCCGCCTCAACCACCTTTATGTTGGGGAAAGTTTCCCCTACCCGATGATGCAGGGAATTGGTTCCGCTTTTTGATAGAGCAAAATTCTATCCGCCAGTCTTTAAATATAGCGACTATAGGTAGAATGTCTGAATGAACCAAATTTCTTCGCAGCTTACATCAATGTGATGATTATAGGGGTCAGAATGACTGCAACAGACTACTCTTTCTTGCATTCAGCACTGCAATGTAAGTGTGAAAGAGTAAGCTGTTTTGTTCTATCGTACATCCGTAAGTTTTACCGCTGTCAGTATGCCCAAAAGTATCTTATTTTCCAAAACCATGTGAGCTATGGTGCATCTATATGTGGTTTACAGGGACCCCCCCTTGTAATGAAAAAGAAGATAGCAAGTTGTTGGGAGTTGTTTCAACCTGTCATTATACACAGCTATGCCACCGCAGTTTGCAATAAAATCGCTTCGCTTCGAAGTAATGTATTGGGATTTATGAAAGTTAATAGCTATTTTGGAGATTTAGCACCGACAAACCGACATGAATGATCATACAAATTATAAAGAAATTTCTGATCTAATCTAATCTAATCTAATACAAACGCAGCCAGTACGAGGAAGTATCCTGGAAAATGATTAGGTGAGGTCTAATAATTTTTCTTGTCTAATTGATGTTTACAGTATATCTGAGATATGATATAAACATCAATACGGCCAGGCCTACTGCGTTGTATTTGCCGCAAAGATGATTCTTGGAAATGAATGGGAACATTTCTCGAATCTACAGGGGTGGAAGGATGCGTGGACATACCGTACCAAACGCTCCGAGTTACTATGTGTAGTTGTGTGTAATGTGTAAATATTTGTACAATATTGAAGAATCATAAAATAATGCTATGGAAGGATCTTACCGAATTTTCTCCTATGTAAACACAAATTTGGACAGCTCTCACCATATTCTGCTCTTCCGGTGCCGTTAATTGCTTCCTTTGAAATCCCTTGGACTTTTTCTCTAACGCTTCGTATTTCTTTCCGTGCTTCACCGGCAATTTCCTTCCGTAGATCGTCCTTGGTTGGTTGGTTCTAATATGATTCCGCCTTTTTTTGGTCGGTTTGATGTCCACCATATGTTATTGAATTGCCATGGTGATCTGGCACGAGGCTCACGTTCAAAGTCGCTGGTCCACCGAGCGCTCCATGTGCGAAAGGAGTATGAAGTAAAGAAAGAAATAAATAAAGAAAGAAAGAAATAAATAAAGAAAGAAAGAAATACGGAAGGGATCAGTTTCAAAAAGTGACAGTTTCATCAGATTCCCCAACTAACAGTTACTCAAGCAAAATAAGAATATACAAGCTATATTGCGTCTAAATGGTTATTTGGGTACTCATATGGTTCATCGGTTGCGAAGTGAAGTATTTCTGAAAGTGATGCGTAATATTCCTCAATGTTATTTCACAGACAAGCAGACACAATACATTGAACATTTATCATTGTAAACCCTACCGCCATCTGTCGTATACACTACGATGGGCAATACACTCAACAGATGGTTGTAGCAACAATCAATACGAAACTAACGATTTTAAATTGGCTCACCACTTTAGTAGCCTATTGGTCCCAAGCAAACGATTAACGTACCCTATTCTAGTTGAAATTCTATTACTACACTATTTTTGTTTTGATTCGCTATGAAAGTTTGACAGATAACATCAGGGGTGTGTGGATTCATGCAGAACATGCAGGGGTGAGTGAAATTGCTTGGGACTGCTTGGGACCGTTGTTCTGGTACTGAGTGAGCCAAAAATAATAATGATTTTCTTCGGGACCCAGTGGTCTTAGAGTTACCTCTATGGTTGTAGTGTGTAAACGTCAAACGCAAGGGAATTGATTATGTGCACCACAAGTGGCAGTACTACCAACTAAGAAACATTTAAATTGACCGTTAAAAACGATTTTCATGAACGTTTTAAGAGTGTTTTGTCTGCTTGTCTGTGATCATATCTTCACTTTCGCAACTTCGAGTAATCTGCGAAAGTACTTGCATTTTTCTCAGGCACTTTTGATCTAACTGCATTTACTCTCTCATACTCGAAATGTGCCACGACCAAATTGGCACAACGATGCCCTACCAACAATCAATACGAAACTAACGATTTTAAATTGGCTCACTACTTGACTAGCCTATTGGTCCCAAGCAAATCGACTAACATACCCCCTTCTAGTATAAATTCCAGTACTACACTATGTTTGTTTTGATTTGCTATGAAAGTTTGACAGATAAAATGAGGGGTTATTGGATTTTCCTATGTTTCGAGGGGTGAATCGATTAGCTTGGGACCGAAGATAGTACCAGAGCTGAGCCAAAAAGTTGAGCTCGTTTCTTCGGGACCTTCTGGTCTTAGAGTTACCTCTATGGCCCTACTGCGTTGTATTTGACCGAATCGCAGGGATTCTAAAGAAATTTCTGATCAAAGCACAAAACTGTCATTTGCCACCGTGCTCGCGGAAAAATATTTATCCTAGCCACGAACACGCGT